AGTGTATGATCTGACTGGGCCTGTACATAACCGAATTTTCCAAGGGCTAGTCTGAATCTATCAAACCAGGCTCTAGGTGACTGCTTCAAACCATACAAGCTTGTGGCTAATGACCCTTCAGTCCTTGACATTCTGTTATGTTTCTCTTCCCACAATATAATACTTTAATTCCTTTCTATACTTTTCTTTCTACTCCTATTGTTCATTGGTCAATTACACTAACAAGCATAAAATTATTCTGTTAATCTATTCTTCCAAAAATTTAAATAAAAACATTGTAGTGTTGGTGGAACTCATGCTACCATTTAGGTGGATGTTTTGTCTTGCTCAGTGCTTGTGAACTGTTTAGTACTATACCTAAACTTATACCTGCATAAATCAAGAGTTTATATTTGTGCTGTTGCCTGTAATAATACTTGATTCCATTATCTCTTGTTAACTTTATTGATAATACTCCATGCAACATGACAAAGGCAAGGTTTCAGTGTTTTATGTGGATTGACATATTAAAGCAGTCCAAAAATATCATTTTTCTTCTGTACATTTCTGTTCTTATCAATGGCTATTATGTCTTTATGTTCGTTCTCATGCTTATTCTTATTTAGCATTTCTTTTTCTTTGTATTACCATGTTTTTAACAGTTTGGGCTGTTTGTATCAGGTTGATAGAATGGGCAATGGAAAGAGCAGTAACCATGGTATTTACCCAGTTTGTTTGGTTTATGTTATTTGCTCTTCTGGTTCAAAGCTATTTTTTTCATATATGATGGCAATGCATCATGAGTCTGGTATTTGATTTGGAATGCTATGTTGAATAATAATACACCACAAACCCAAGCTTTTTTGGTGGCATGGTTTAAAGATGCTCCACAAAAGTTTTTCTTTTGATGTGGATTGATATCACATAGTGTTTTTTGGATGGGTATCACATTGTAGTTCACTTCAAGTCTCTTTTCAGTGTTGCAGAATCTCACTCAAGTTTTTCCTCTGCTTCTTGAAGAGTCCAAAGGAAATGTGCATACAGGAGCTCCTCCACCTTGGTTTGAAAAGAATGAAGAAAATGAACTAAATTTTCAAGTAGACATAGGATCTAACACCAATTCTCTTGCTTCTTCCTCAAGCAAGTCAAGAATGAGTGGAAAGTTGAATCCAAAACGGGTGGGAGCTGCTTGGGCAGAAAAGCGGAAGATTGAAATTGAGATGGAGAAGAGAGGAGAGATCGTCTCAAGTAGCTGTGATACTGATTGGCTTCCTAATTTCGGTAGAGTTTGGCAATCAGGTACTCGAAAGGAATCCAGAAAAGAGTTTGAAATGGAGAAACACAAATTGCTGAAGGTTGAGTGTCTATCTGAGGGAACAATAAAGTTACAACCTTACATTAGCAAACGAATGGTTAGTTCTCTTTCTCTTATACCTTGTTACATTGGTTTCAAACTTCAATGCCTGCTTGAAAATATTTGATGTTTTGCTGGCAGCGGATCTATGAATATGCTTTTAGTGTGAATACTAATAAAAAAAGTCAACTTTAATTTTTCCTAGATAACCTCTTGGTAACATCGTCAAGTCTAACTGAAATTTGATCCTCTCTCGTGTGCAGACACATGGAATGCAACATTTGACTAAGTTCTCATGTTAGGTTGTGTATCTGTAATATATAATCTGTCAATGCTGGCATTGGTCAAGAAATTATTGTGTATTTGATATTCACGCTATTTAGCTCTAAGGCCCTGTTCACTTTTCCGTAAGTTACTTACCCAGATAAGTGCAATTACTTGGGTAAGTTTTTCCTGAGAAACACTTACTGGGTAAGTGCATTTACCCATGTTCTTTTATTTCCCAGGTAAATAAGCCAATGACCATTTTAGCCATAGAGATTCATTATTAAAAGGGGAATTTTTGTCCCATTCAAGTGTTGGCAACTTTCCCCCTTATGTGGGAAAGTTATTTATCCATCTAGGAGATGGGTATCACTTTCCTGGGTAAGTGGTACCTTGGAAAATAAACTTTCCCTGATCCCCACATAAAGCTGAAAAACTCCCCCCTCCTCCCCCCGCTCAAAATCCCAAAAAAAGAATGCCCCCTAAGCATTACATATGTTTCTTTCTCTGTGCAGCGAAAAGATACAGGTCAATTTGAAGGTCCTGCTGATTGTTCTTGAAGGATGTTCTGATTTTCCTTGAAACATCTGGTTTCAAATTCCTTCCGTTGGGGTATGTATTTATCTCATCATTTATTTGTTTTTCATGAGGACATGTTATTCAATATTTGTTACTATACAAAGAAGTCGGTTGGAAGATGACTTGTTAGGACACATCACGAATATGTGATCATCTAAGAGATGTCCACTGGTTTAGAAGAGTGGGGACTTTAGGATCTGAGAGGAATGGGACCTACTTCAAATGTACTGATTTGAACCAATGTTCTGCCTCTACTGGAAAAGCAAAACCAATGTTCTTAGTGTTAGCTGTCTCAAGCAATGCATGTGATTGTATTTCTAGATTAAACTTAGGGGCATATCATTCAAGTAATCAGTGTTTAGTTTAATGCTTGAGGTCTGAAATGCAGACAAGTAAATCTCTCTTTCTAGACTACATAGACTTGTAATCTGGTCATTCCATAGTGATTTCTGTAACATGATTGTCTAGGTCAACTTTTTCTTGGTCATTGTAGATGTGACTGACTTTGGAATTTGCTGTGAATGCTTTGATTTTTTTCAGGGTCATCTCATATTCAAGAAAGATGGTGGTGCTGCCGGCATTAAGTGAAGATAGAAGGAACTGCAGTCTTAAACTGAAGGCTAGGAAGTTGAAGGAAGCTCTAAGGGAGATAAGGTTTGACATAAGGTGGAATATCTTCTATGTGATGGTGGTAATGGCAGAGTTAGCAAAGTGTCTGAGTGTGTAAAGCATGCTTAAGGAAAACTATGTAGTGCTAAAAAATGCTAGGAACTAGTGCCAGTCCAGCTGCCCTAGCATGTCTGGATGGAGAAGAGTGTGTCGGGTGAGAATTTGAGGTTGGGTAGGGGTTGAGTGAGAGGAAGATGCGAACTGGGGGTTGATTCTTGAGTTCTACACTATCTTCTTTTCTTCTTTCTTCTCTCATATGGCGAATCAAATCGAATGCAGTTCAGTTGAAGACGCCGGTGGTTTCTTACCTGCTATATGGTCTACCGTCTACCGTCCAACTTAGAACATGCCAACCCGCCCTTCTAGTGAAGCATTCACGTGGAAGTGGAAACAACCATCTTCGCAAGATTATCCAATCAAACTATCTTTGCAAGGTTTGCTGGCTTTGCTTGATCACTCAGGGCTCAGGGGCAAGGTTCAGAGTATCAGCACGTGGCATGCAAAAATTGCATATCGTGTTTTCGGAGGAGCGATACACCCGTTAAGAATGGTTTTTAGTGTAAAGTTTTGAAACCATGGCAAGCACAAGGGGGCTAATTTGTGGGTGAAGACCATTGCACTTTACCCGTTTACCGGCCTGATTTTATCTTTTGATAAAGCACATACCCATCCTTACTCTTAGTAAGGAGAACATCCTTTGATGCAACATCGTTGTTTCATTCAGATTCATGAATAATGTTGAAATGAATTGATTTTTCCCCATTTTTTTAATTCCTCGTTTCATTTCGTCTTTTACCTTTTGGAGGGGTTAAGCTAGCAAAATCCAACTATGATACCGGAAAGTCAAACAACTGGTATCATAAAAGTGGTCATCAATCAATCAGCTGTTATTCATCCAATCGACTAAGGGGGGTTAGATAGAAATTTGTTTATGTTTGGGGCTTTGGGCTAGAAAAAATTGGGTCATGACATCGGTTTTGGTCTAGGCCAAGGTCAATGTCTATGGTTAGTCTTGCGCTAGTCTTTAATCCAATCCAATCCATCTAATTTATAACCTTGTTTTGTTTGTTTATTTATTGAGAAAACTTTTAATGTTAGAAATATGAGATAAGGCTTACCAATCACAAACCTTTTGAATTATGCTGAAAATCCACCTCATTGGTTCCTACTTTTATAATGTCAGTTGATTGGTTGTAAGTTTTTTTGGATATCATGTCTTTTTAGCATCATAATTGAACTCTTGATTATTTGGTATCATAGGAAATTAAGGTGGCATTCAATAAATCTGAAATTTTAATAGTGAAAAAAATATTAAAAGTGTTTGAAATCTGAAAAGAAACAAATGTTTTTCTACATTTTAGAGGTTCTAAATAAAGAAGGTTATTTGTGGTGGATGAAATTTTTTAATTTTACTATTTTACCCCTAAAATAGATTATTTGGTACTTTTGAGTTCAATTTTATTATTTCATAAAAAACAATTTATTAAATTCAAAAAATATTAAAAATACGAATAAATTATAAAAAATAAAAAATAATAATTTATTAAAATAAGAATAAAATTGAAAATACATATAAATTTATAAATTAAAAATAAATTATTAAAATTTAAAATAATAATAATAGTAATAAAGTCCATGAAACAATAAAAGTATTTAATAATTAGCAAATTAATATCTTAAAACTATTAAAATATTTAATAATTAATAAAAATTAAAATAATTCATACAAATAAAAGTTATAAAAAATAATTTACTAAAATAAGAATAAATTTTGAAAGTATGTATAATGTATAGGAAGACAAGGGAGAGGGTGTTAATTGTCACCGTAGAAAGTTGCAGGGCGGTAGTGGGAAGACAGGGGAGAGAGACTACAAGCTGCTCGATTGCAAAGGTCTTCCTCGATAAACAAGGTGGTGCCGGTTGGGTTGAAGGTGGCCCACATGAGGGAATCGTAGCCGAAGACAAGGAAGTTACAAGGAGATAGGGATTTGAGGACGTCCAAGGAGACGCTGATCTCCACGAGTGATTGTTGCGGGACAACAGGCGATGTGGTGTAGTGGAGGATTGCAAGTAGCTGAATGGGCGTAGTCCGATATTCGGCGGCAGCTTCTCCACTACGGTATGACCCGGCGAGGGAACAGTATAGAGAGGTTTGAGCACTTTGACTGAAGCTGGAAATGAGTGTCACGACGGCTAAAAGAGCGGCCAAAGCGACGAAAGCCAGGATCCATGGCTTGTTGAGCTTGGATTTGGATAGGAGATGCCAACGCTTCATCATCACTACTTAGAAATCTTAATTTTTTTTATCGTACTGTACGTTTGTACTCTTGTTGATTGAGTTTCAGTGATGAAAAGAGAATAACAAAGAAATACATAAGGGTCTTTATTGTACTCTTCGTTTGTTCCGGATTAAGCTAGGCTAGTACAGTGACTCTCTGGCCTATAAGATGTCCAAAGTTCAACTATTTAAATTATCCCAGTCCAGCCCAATAATTTCAAAATAACAGTGGGTACATTGACCGGTAATCCTCCGATAGTAATTTCAAAAGCCAAGTTGAAGAAGTTGGAGTCCCGGGGCGATCTTGACCGGAGACATGCTGTAGCTATACTGTAAACTTAGCTTTTGCAGAGTGAACATAAGGAAGTTCTGCTATGCTTTGCAGAGACGTGTTGTTTCTGATGCAGTAGCTATACTGCAAACTTAGCTTTTTAATAAACAGCAGATACGTTGTTTCAGCAGACATGCTGAGGCAGTAATTATACTGCGAAATTGGATTAAAAAAGAACAATGGATATGCTGTTTCAGCAGACATGCTGATGCAGTAATTGTACTGCGAAATTGGATTAAAAAAACAACAGATACGCTGTTTCAGCAGACATGCTGATGCAGTGATTATACTGCAATAATCCATTGAGGAAACAAGTGAAGCTCTCTTGGAAGGCAGAGGATACATGGAAGGTAGAGGCTACATTACCTGATGTAGACGCAAATGAAGAAGGAGTACTAACTAAACTGTCCATTTGGCGTGAGGCCACTCTATATGATTCCAAGTGATTTCTGAAGGAATTCATGATATCTTTCTTAGGGTCAGAACCAGTGAAGTACTCCCGAGCAATACCAGTTAACACTCCACCAGACTGAGTATCTTGGGTTGCCACGTTTGCCACATTATGTGTTGTATTAGGCTTCTTCTGACCCTGCACCTTACCCTGCTCTTGATTCTTTATAGCCCACTTTGGCCTTCCATGGAGCTCCCAACATGTGTCCTGTGTATGTCTTGAACGTCACCAATGGCTACAGAACAACTTGTCTTTAACCATCACACTCCTCCTACTTTCCTCAGATTGAAACAGGGCATAAACTTCCTGAACTAAAGACAACTCTTTACTCCCTAAAATCTGAATTCTAAGAGGTTCATATACGGGGTTTAGTCCCAACAAGAAAGTAAAAACTCGCTGTTGAGAAACCAACTTCTTATAAGCTTTAGCATCATCATCATGCTTCCATTTTATAGCTTGATAGTGGTCCAACTCCTTCCATACTGAAGTAAGGGCTAAATAATAGGCTGGCAAACTACGGTTCCCCTGTTTACAAGTTGAGGATTCAGCTTGTAACTGGTAAATCTTAGCATAGTGCCTCTACTCAGAATAGGTGGTTTTGACTTGTTCCCATATTTCACTAGCGGTGTCTGCCCACATAAAGTTCTTCTTCACATCAGGTTTCATGGTTTCTAGAAGCCAGGACATCACCATACTGTTCTCTTGGTTCCACCTATCATGTTCAGTTGTCCTATTCTTGGGTTCTTTCACTCTTCCATTTATGTACCCAGCTTTTCCTTTGGCTGTTATGTAAAGTTTTACACCTTTAACCCACTCCAGGTAGTTCAGGCCATTCAAAGGAGTAATTGGCATAGGAAATATCATATTTTCAGCTCCAATACCAATTGTACTACGAGTTAATGTAACCCCAGATGAGGCAGAATCATCATTTGCCATTGACAGAAACAAAGGCTACAAGACAAAACTCAAACCACAAGTGCACAAGACTAATCCCCACTCAACTACTAACTCTCACAGTTATAATTAGGGCACTAAACACCCAGAAATCTTCTTTTGAAACAAAGAACCCACAACTGAAATCTAATGGCAGCCACTAAACAATTCAAAAAACAGTCCAAAAACACTGCTGAAATCCTCTAGCAATAATCAAACCATCCAAGAACAGTTCAAACCATCCAGGAAATTGGACTTCAACCAAACAGTTCACAAACAGTCCAGAAATAATAAACTACACCGCTGAAATCCTCTAGCAGCACTCAAACCATCTAAGAATAGTCCAAAAAATTAGACTTCAGTTATCATTGGTCTATGCACAACACACATCAACCAATCACAGCATATACCTGTGACAAAAAGGGAATCAAAGATCCCTGTACAGCACCTGTACGAAGGTGCTGTTCCAAGACTGAGTCTTCACAGCATCAGCCAAGAGAAAGAGAGCCTTCATAGGATCGGCCCCCTCCTACTATTTGATTAGGGTTTCTGCCTTCACTGTCCAAGAGTCAGAAAACTGGGTGGAAGATTTCTAGGTGAAAGGAATGTGATTCAGAGGAGAAAAGAGATTCCTATCGCCCAGAATTATGCTCTGATACCATCTTTTCTTTCCAGAAGAGAGAGAAGAGAAAAGAGAAGAGAAGACGAAAAAGTGTTTGAGAGTCAAAAACTGAAGCTGGTGGCTCCCGGCTTCCTATTTGTATTAACATGATGTAAAATAAAAGAAATAGAAATTATAAGCATGCCCTTGGTGGCCCACCCTAATAATAAGAACTTAAACAAAGAAAACAACATGCTAACAGAACCCTAAAAACAAAAATAAAAAACTAATTCTAACAACATTTCCCATGCCTAAAGGTCTCTGTCGAATTCTTTTGCAGGTTAGTACTTTCAAACTCCAAGGTTGCAATGATAACAAGAAGCTCTCTCTCTCTCTCTTTGTGATGTACATAGACGTATGCTTAAATACATAACAAAGGGTGGCCCAGAACATATGCACACATACATATGTGTACAAAAATATAAAAGGGCAGACCAGTGCACGAGGCTCCTGCCAATGTGGGGTCTGGGGAGGACGGACGTATGCAGCCTTAACCCTGTATATACACTGAGGTTGCACAAAAATATCATAATATGCAATATATTCTCACTGTGAGATTGAACATTTTGTTTCGTTTTGGGGTTGTGAAACAAAATGTCTGCAAGTGTTTATGGTTTTGTAATATGCTTACAGGTACATGATGAGTTACTGTTGGAAGTTGATCCTTTTGTAATAGGGGAGGCTGGATTATTGCTACAGTTAAGCATGGAAAGTTCTGAATCGCCTCTAGGTATGCATGAACTCAACATAGCATAAACTGGCTTTGTAATTTGTCACCATCATCATCATCTAGGCCTTACCCCAACAATATTGGATCAGATACATGAATCCTGTTTCTCCATTCCATTCTTTATAGTGCCATATCCATTGTTAAATTGTGAGCGCTTAAATTATTTCTTACCACTTCAATCCATGTCCTTTCTGGTCTGCCCCTAGTTCTTCTGGCCCTTTCAACCCATTGTTAAATTATGGCTTTTAATTCTTTGGAAATATATTCACTAGTATCTTTTTCCTTGTGTCAATTCCTTTGCAGGTCAAACTGAAGGTTGGAAGAACCTGGGGTTCTTTGGAGCCTTTCCAGGTGGAGCAATACAAAGAAAAAAGTCCTTTTATAGTA